ATCCCACCCACCCATATTCTCACCACACTAGTGACTCACACCCTCACTTTAGAGTTTACTTTAGAGCCAAAGCCAGAGCCATGTCAGGGTTTGGCTCTAAAGTAAAGCTCTAAACAAATTGCAATGGGAAGAAAGAAATTCAACATGGTCCCCAAAAAAGTAAGCTTCATTTTTATTATCTATTCTGTGATGACCCAGATATCCCACCCACCCATATTCTCACCACACTAGTGACTCACACCCTCACTTTAGAGTTTACTTTAGAGCCAAAACCAGAGCCATGTCAGGGTTTGGCTCTAAAGTAAACTTTAATACTAAGATTTTTTTTTTCTTTAATAGCACAAATGTTCAAAATGTTAGGGTAAAAGAAGATTTAAAGGTTTATTTATGCTAATTTTCTCTATGACAAGTCTTTAAATTTAAAATAACAGTTTTCTATTTTAATATATTTTAATTTTGTTTTTTTCCCGTGATGGCAAAGCTGAATTTTTCTGCATTATTACTCCAGTCTGCAGTGTCACGTGATCCTTCAGAAATCATTCTAAAATGCGAATTAGTTGCTCAGTTATTAACATTTCTTATTATCAATGTTGAAAATGTACTCTGTTACAAACGTAACCCCGGTTCCCTGAGATACGGGAACGAGTACTGCGTCTGCTAAGACGCTATGGGAAAAAGTCCTTTTTTCTCCTAAACTGAAGCCTTTTTTAATAACGCAGTGTAACTGCATGGCCATTGGTTCGTGCAGTATACTTTAAAAAAATTAACCAATGGCTCGGCAGCAGTGCTGCACTAACCCTCAGAATTAAGGGTTAAGGGCCCTCAGAACAGTGGGCAGGTCCCACATAGGGACAGTGAGGGGACGGGGTGGATTCAGCCTCCTAGCCCCCCTCAGAAAACGGACAACAAGGTTGTTCCTGCCCACCGACTGGCCTGCTACAGGGGCATGAGAAGCCATTATAGCTGCTACATAGACCTTTAGCGTGGATGGGAAGCGCCCCTTATCAAACAGCTCCTGCAGAAAGGACAATATCACCGATACGTCACAGACTGACGGATCCTCACCGCGGGTTGAGCACCAGGCGGAGAACACCGACCATTTGAGGGTGTAGAGGCATCTTGTAGACAGAACTCTAGCCTGAGAAATGGTGTTTAGAACACACTCTGGGAGGCTTGCAGGCTCCCGTCGAGTGGCCAAAGATGTAGAGCCCACAGCTCAGGCTGGGGGTGCCATATCATCCTGTTCGCCTGAGAGAGGAGATCCCGCCTCAGGGGAATGGGCCATGGGGCTGCTACGAGCAGCTGCGACAGCTCTGACAACCAATGCTAGTTTCTCCAGAGCGGGGCCACCAGGAGAACCTTGCATTCTTGTTCCCTGATTTGTCTGATTACCTGTGGGATCAGAGCGATCAGGGGAAAAGCTCAGAAAAGGAGGTTGGGCCAATCGTGGGCCAACGCGTCCTTGTCCTTGGAATAATAGATTGAGAGTTGTCTTTTGAGGCGAAGAGGTCCACTTCCACCTTGCCAAAAACCTTCCAAACTTTTTGAACCATCCGCGGATGAAGCATCCACTCTTCTGAGGGGACTTTACTTCGTGACAACATGTCCGCTCCTTGGTTCAGTTTGCCCGGAACGTGCATTGCTCTCAGCGAGCGCAAGTTGAGCTGAGCCCATTCCAGGAGATGCTCTACTGCTCTCCGAGCAGACCAGAACTTGGTGTCCCCTCAGGTCGGGTAGAAAGGTTTGACAGGCCAGACATACGGCCAGCATTTCGAGGCAGTTGATGTGAAGACCGTCCTCTACCTTGATAAGCAGGCGTCCGTGACGCCACGCATGGGATGGAACCCGCGATTTCAGCCAGTACTGAAGGGGACGCATACGAAGCAGGCCCAACTTTAGCACTGGAGACGCTGCGGCCAAAAGGCCCAGCATCTTTTGAAATGCCTTGAGGGTGCGAGAGGTACCAGCCTTGAAGGGTAAATACACTTCGAGAAAGTGCGTGGAGCCGGGAACAGTCCAAAGGGAAGGACCGTGTATTGATAAGCCACTCCCTCGAAGGCGAATCTCAAGAATCGCCTGTGGTGGGGGGCTATCTGGATGTGAAAGTAAGCATCTTTCAGATCCAGCGAAAAGAACCAGTCCCCTGGGCATACTTGCAAGAGGATCTGTTTCAATGTAATCATTCTGAATGACCGTCTTATGAGGGCGCGATTCAGGTGCCTGAGATTGAAGATGGGCCTTAGGCCGCCATCCTTTTTGAGGATGAGGAAGTAGCGGCTTTAGAAGCCTGACTCATCCTGAGCTGGCGGAACCGTCTCTACAGCTCCTTCTGCCAGTGAATTCATCACCTCAGAGCGCAGGACATGAGTGTCCGTGCTCTGCACTAAGGTGGGAACCACGCCGCTGCATCATGGGGGTCTTCGAGCAAATTGAAGTGTATAACCTCGTTTTATTATCCCCAAAACCCAGTCTGACACTCCAGGGATGGCCTGCCAGGCCTCAGTCCGTGTGACAAGGGGTTGGATTGGTTCGAGTAGTAGGCCGCCTTGTGGGGACCCGACACTCATGATAAGTGGAAGAGGAAATTTGCCCGCTTTTGAATTTTTTAAATGTTTTTTCACTATAACAGCGGCTGGTTGTGTGGGTGCTATTTGGATGGGCCCAGTGCTCACAACCGCAATTACAACAAACATACTGCCATCAGCACCCGGATTTTGCATCATGGGGGTCTTCGAGCAAATTGAAGTGTATAACCTCGTTTTATTATCCCCAAAACCCAGTCTGACACTCCAGGGATGGCCTGCCAGGCCTCGGTCCGTGTGACAAGGGGTTGGATTGGTTCGAGTAGTAGGCCGCCTTGTGGGGACCCGACACTCATGATAAGAGGAAGAGGAAATTTGCCCGCTTTTGAATTTTTTAAATGTTTTTTCACTATAACAGCGGCTGGTTGTGTGGGTGCTATTTGGATGGGCCCAGTGCTCACAACCGCAATTACAACAAACATACTGCCATCAGCACCCGGATTTGAACGGGGGTGCTTGGAGGCATAAGAGAGGCTGTAATGCTTTGCTGGACTCAAAGCATTACAAATGCTTGTGCGGCCTCAGCGTGGGCATGGCCCAGACGCGTCCAACCCTGAAGCTGTCAGCGATAGTAATCACTAGTGACAGCATTCTCTTTAAATCCGCCTGAAAGGATCAAACCACTCGTTAGAAGAGGGGCACTTTAGATCCTTACATGTAAACACACCGGCAGATCAAAGGTGCTGCATGCATTCACTCAGGTAGCAGACGAGGAGAGGGGCGGGGCTTCATTGAAGGCGAACTGTGCACAAAGCAGAGTGAGACACAAACTTTCGTAATGAGAGCTGTCTGTCTTAGTGAGCGCAGCCTCAGCGGGGGCGCGGCCCGAGCGGTGCACTCAGATTGAAGCTGTCAGCGATATTGTAAATCACAGTTGACAGCATTCTGCTCCGATCTGCTTTGAAGGATTAAGCCGCTCGACAAACGAGATGCGCTAATCCTCAGTGTAAACACACTGGCTGATCAAAGCGCTGCATGGAGAGTGAAACACGGGGCTGCGCCTGCGTGAAAATCACCCAAGCCTGATCGCTCAGCCCCGCGAGTTTAAAGTTTATTTCTCCGAGGTGACTGGGAGAAGAGAAATATGAGAGCAGGGGAGGCAGGGCCTCCTTAGCGCAGCATTCTACTCCGATCCGCCTAGAAGGATTGAGCCGCTCAATGTAATGAGGGGCGCTAATCCTCACGTGTTAACACACGCTGGCAGATCAAAGTGAGCACGCGGGATGTGTGACAGCGTGAAAATCACTCAAGCCTGATCGCTCAGCCCCGCGAATTTAAACTTTCTTTCTCCGAGGTGACCGGGAGAAGAGAAACATGAGAGTGGGGGAGGCGGGGCCGCCTTCGTAGAAGGGGATCCGCGAGCGAATCAGGGACAGACTCTGGCTTTCGGTGAAAGCAGCCTGTCTGTGTGAGCACAGCTTCAACGACGCACACACAGCAAAGCTGTCAGCGATAAGAGGTGACAGCTTTCTACTCTGATCCGCCTAAGAGGATAAAGCCGCTCGAATCAACGAGGGGCACTGATTCTCACGTGTAAACACACCGGCGGATCAGAGTGCTGCGGGGAGAGCGAGCACGCGGCTCTGTGCCGGCGTGGGATCACTCAAACCTGGTTTCTCAGCTCCGTATCTCTGTTGTTCCTTTCTCCGAGCTTTGCTGAGAGAGGAGAAACGGGAGAGCGGAGCTGCCATCACAGAAGGCGGACCGCGAGCAGAGAAGAGCGAGCCTCATGCTCTCAGTGAAGGCATTCCGTCTCCGTGCACTGTGTGGGTGTTCCCCAGACAAGAGACGCACCCACTGCCCTTCCCTACTCTCGCAGTGCGACATTTGCAACAACGTCTCAAGAAATAAGCTCTTTAGAAATTTACTATTTTAGAACTCACCGGATAGCAGCAGGGGACGAGCTGAGAGCTGCAGATGCTGAAAGCGGCTCGGGCTGGAAGCGCAGAGCAAGATCAGCAGAGCGGCGCAGGTTTCTGAATCAGCTTTTGTCCGCAGCGAGGCATGTCAACGGCTAGCGGCTTCCAGTGTTGTAGAACAGCGAAGAGATGATCGTCATCGCTGAAGGAGAATTAATCTGAATCCTATGGCGAAGCGGGTGCTTATATAGCCAGATGGCCCCGCCCATTCTGGCGGGCTTAGGCGGGCTTCGTGGCCATAGGTTCATGCAGCACTGCTGCCGAGCCATTGGCTGGTTTTAAAGTATACTGCACGAACCAATGGCTGTGCAGTTACACTGTGTTATTTAAAAAGTCTTCAGTTTAGGAGAAAAAAGGTATTTTTCCCATAGCATCTTAGCAGACGCAGTACGAGTGAAGTATCGGTAGGGAACAGTTTTTGCTGCTTAATATTTCTGTGGAAACTGTGATACACTAGCATTCAAAAGTTTGGAGTGAGTAAGAGTTTTTTATTTAAATGAAAAAAGAAAAATATTTTTATTCAGCAAGGATGCATTACCCCTTAACTGTCACCATCCCACCTGTGGGACGCTTGGCACTCTTTTATTTTGTTGTCCTTTTTCTCTATCAAATATTTTATCATCATCGCGGGATGTGTGACAGCGTGAAAATCACTCAAGCCTGATCGCTCAGCCCCGCGAATTTAAACTTTCTTTCTCCGAGGTGACCGGGAGAAGAGAAACATGAGAGTGGGGGAGGCGGGGCCGCCTTCGTAGAAGGGGATCCGCGAGCGAATCAGGGACAGACTCTGGCTTTCGGTGAAAGCAGCCTGTCTGTGTGAGCACAGCTTCAACGACGCACACACAGCAAAGCTGTCAGCGATAAGAGGTGACAGCTTTCTACTCTGATCCGCCTAAGAGGATAAAGCCGCTCGAATCAACGAGGGGCACTGATTCTCACGTGTAAACACACCGGCGGATCAGAGTGCTGCGGGGAGAGCGAGCACGCGGCTCTGTGCCGGCGTGGGATCACTCAAACCTGGTTTCTCAGCTCCGTATCTCTGTTGTTCCTTTCTCCGAGCTTTGCTGAGAGAGGAGAAACGGGAGAGCGGAGCTGCCATCACAGAAGGCGGACTGCGAGCAGAGAAGAGCGAGCCTCATGCTCTCAGTGAAGGCATTCCGTCTCCGTGCACTGTGTGGGTGTTCCCCAGACAAGAGACGCACCCACTGCCCTTCCCTACTCTCGCAGTGCGACATTTGCAACAACGTCTCAAGAAATAAGCTCTTTAGAAATTTACTATTTTAGAACTCACCGGATAGCAGCAGGGGACGAGCTGAGAGCTGCAGATGCTGAAAGCGGCTCGGGCTGGAAGCGCAGAGCGAGATCAGCAGAGCGGCGCAGGTTTCTGAATCAGCTTTTGTCCGCAGCGAGGCATGTCAACGGCTAGCGGCTTCCAGTCTTGTAGAACAGCGAAGAGATGATCGTCATCGCTGAAGGAGAATTAATCTGAATCCTATGGCGAAGCGGGTGCTTATATAGCCAGATGGCCCCGCCCATTCTGGCGGGCTTAGGTCTTTATAATCTTGACAGATTTTGTTATTTTGTGATAGAAATAATATTGACAGAGAAATCTAGACATTTGTGACAGAAAAATGCATTAAAAAAATTGAATGGAGTTTAGATGGCACCCGGTGGCTATTTGTGATATAACGCCCTAAATAAAATCTCACAGAAACCTCAATTTTTTTTATATCAACTGCACTTTAATGCCTATTTTAAAAAATGGGGGTGACAGTTAAGAGAGAGTGAAACATGGGGCTGTGCCTGCGTGAAAATCACCCATATATTATAATAAAATATATTAAAATAGAAAACAGTTTGTAATAATATTACTGTTTTTATTGTACTTTTGATCAAACAAATGTAGCCTTGGTGAGTATAAGATACTTCTTTCAAAAACATGTCTTAATGATTCCAAACCTTTGGCCGGCAGTAACTGCAGTGACTTATGTGGTATGTGTAGTTACTGAGTTATGCATCTGTTTTGTCTTTGCAGACACATGTTATGTCCTGTCCTTTGCCATTATTATGTTAAACACCAGTCTTCACAATCCCAACGTCCGGGACAAACCCGCCGTAGAGCGTTTCATCTCCATGAACAGAGGCATTAATGACGGAGGAGACCTGCCAGAGGAGTTGCTCCGGGTAACGGCCCCACACTGGATCTGTGATTGCCAATGCTGAAATTATTAAGGGGTCATATGATGCTATTTTAAAGATCATTATTTTGTGTATTTGGTGTAACAGAATATGTTGACATGCTTTAATGTTCAAAAAACACATTATTTTTCAAATACTGTACATTATTGTAGGTCCTCTATGCCCCGCCTCTCTCAAACGCTTCGTTTTCTACAAAGTGCAAATTTGGGCGGCATTATGCTAACATTTCCACATATTGACGTAGATATGGGGGGGCGTGTTAGAACGAGCCGTTTTAGGTAGGTGTGGCTGACTCTTAACTTTTATAAAGAATATCTCTTTGGATTTGAGACTTTAGTCTTTGCAACTTTACAGATCTTCTTTATGCAGCAAGAGCTTGTAACACTCCAAAGAGAAAGGAAAACTTGAAATCGCATCATATGACCCCTTTAATGATCTTCTTTCCACTGGAAAAGCCCAGTTTGGTGGCCAAAACTGTTTTGAAACATTATTAACCAGCTCAATCGAGTCCCATACATCTTAGCTAAAAAGCTCTACTAATACTAACTGCAAGAACTTTATTTATACTCTCATCTTTCTTCTTCCAGTCTCATTTGGGCCACTGACTTGAAACCTCTGATCCGATCATACAGCAGCAGCCATAGGACTGTTTTAAATATTTCACAGATGCAGCCATGTAAATGTGCTCATCTGCGTACATTAAGCGCACTAACGTCCCTTCTCTCTTGCAGAACCTGTACGAGAGCATCAAGAGCGAGCCCTTTAAAATCCCTGAAGATGATGGCAACGACCTCACACACACGTTCTTCAACCCGGACCGAGAGGGCTGGCTGCTCAAGTTAGGTCAGAACCAGACTCTTACAGTCCCTTCGCCCTGATATTTTCTGCCGAGATGTGGTTTTACGCCGCGGTCTGTTGGAGCCTGTAGGTGGTGTCAGGGAAAGCTGTGAACACAGTGCTGCTCATTAACATCCTAATGGGTTTTTCACATCACTGCGAGGGATTCCTTCAGCAGAAGTATGCCGTCTCATAGGAACAGAGCGCCTGACAAATAGAGTTAGAGCCACTAATGAAAAGTGTGCAGTTTAGTAGGGAAACATATTGTAAGGAGACAAGAATAAGATGAAAGCAGAATGCAGTGTATTTTTTTGCTGTTACTATTGAGTTTGCTTTATAAATGTCAGCTCTCACAGGCAGGGATGTGATAGTTTAATTTGTAAATTATGAGGTGCTGGAGCAAGGGCTCCTATTGGATCTGGCAGGGGAGGAATGGACACATAAATAAGAAAAAAAGGTGTGTAACACCCAACTGAAACTTTAAGCAAGCAGCATGTAAACTAACGAAACACTATTCACAACCCATTTTACTTTGTAATCTGATGCAAAATGGATTTGGTAATCTCTAATCTGATTAGACAACATTACACAACTTTTTTTTTCAGTCCGCCTGGGTACAGAGCTATGTTTATGAGTGGCACAATGAGTGTTTCTGAGGGGGAAAATAATTACTGTATTTCGTCTTTTTTGGCAGTTTACTGGCATCAAATCTTTAAAAGATCTGAAAAGATTTTAGAGCTTTGAAAAATATTGTTTGAGTGTGACTTTGCACTTAGTGGAAAGTAAACTGTGTCACACTTTAGGTCAGGGATCAGTTATCACTATTATCTATGACTTTTGCCTCAATAAACTTCTAATTTGTTGCTTATTAATAGTTAGTAAGGTAGTTGTTAAGTTTAGTTATGATGTAGGATTAAGGGATCTAAAATATGGTCATGCAGATAAGATAAGACATTAATACGTGCATTATAAGTACTAATAAACAGCTAATATGCTAGTAATATGCATGCTAATAAGCAACTAGTTAATAGTGAGAATTGGTCCTTAAAATAAAGTGTTACCATAAACGACTGTGTTTAGCTTTGTTTTTTGAGTTGTGTCTGTGAAATAGTGTACTTGTAGACAGGCAGTAAGTGCATACAAATTTTCTGCTATTTTTCTGTGGCATTTTCTGTACAAAACCTCGCAGAGACTGCTAATGACTGTATTATTATTTTAAAAACACTTCAGTTAAACCCACGTTTAAATGGCACGTGAAAACAAATCTATGATTGGTGACTTGACTTGTCGTTTAGAAGTGTTATTTATTTTTTACTGTTTTATAGTACAGTTATTGAATAAGCTCCAATGTGGACCAGACTTCATGCCGATAGTTCAATGTCTGACTATACAAGATTAGTTTTCTTAGAGGGAGCCGATCTGGATCCACAAATGAATCCCTGTTTTGTAGTTGCTGTGTTTCATTTGTATGTGTCTCTTTTATTTGTTTGTCAAGTGTCAAATGACAGCTGTTTGTGTGTTTCTGATGTCCCGTCTCCCATCTCCTAACATTATGTGTGTCATTTCTGTCTTAAATGTGTATTTGTATGTTGTGGTGGTGCTTTGTTTGTCATGTATTGATGTTGAACATTCCTTCTTGTTTTCCTTACACACTTTGCCCTTTGACCCCTGCCCTCATTTTCTGTCCTGTGACTGGCTGTCTCTACAGGAGGTACGTAACCAGGACAGATCTATCCCATCATGCCCTCATCTCAACCGCTGGTGCCTCTTTTCATCTCCTGTAACCTTCATTTTATCCTTTCCTGACTGTCATTCAAGGCCTTCCTACTTCCTGTCTGTAGGGATATGTATATTGTTAGGTTTGTCTTCTCTGACTGGCTGCTGCTGGGGTCAGAGGTCAGTTTAGTGCACATGGTCTGATTTAGCATCACACCTCAGCTGTATTGTTTGGCTCGGGACACACAAATTCCTTGTTTACTATGTAATGTCCCAGGAGTCCTATATACATTGTAATGAAGGTGCACATAATACCCACACAATCTTTATGTGTCCCCCTCAGCAGTAAGCGGTGAGGAGATTTTTCCACTCAAATAATTATGGTTTTCCTCACTAAAAATATCCCGGTTGGATTTGTGGGAATGTACACTGAAAATGTTTGTACTCGACTGAGGAAATGTAAGGGCTAAATTAGATTTTTTTTAAAAACATGTATTTACTTGAGAACAGTTAATATGAATGCATTTGCTTGAGAAACACAGAATAATTTTTTATGTATCATTATGTATTTGTTTGTTTGTTTGAATTAATTAAAAAAACTACTGAGCTACTTCCAAAAAATCATTTTCCCACTTTAGGTCCAAAGTATTTGGAATATAATCGCCAAAACATTATTGCTCAATGGACAAAATCTGTAAACTGATGAACAATAAAAGATAATTGGTAACACTTTAGTATAGGGACCAATTCTACTAGTTGAATTCTAACTACCGTATTGGCCCGAATATAAGACGACCCTGATTATAAGACGACCCCCCTTTTTCCAGATGTACCTTTTGGAAAAAGGCTTTTTAAAAACCAAATCTTGTTTTTTCTCAGTAAAACACATTTTTTCAGATGCATTTCCAAGAAAAAAATATCGCCTTATATTCGGGTCAATACGGTAGTTGCTTATTAGCATGCCTATTATTAACATATTGGCTGTTTATTAGTACATATAAAGAACATATATTGCATGACCATATTCTACATCCCTAATCCTACCCAATACCTAAACTTAAAGTGCCCCTATTATGGGTAATGAAAGGTTCATATTTTGGTTTTGGGAGTC